GCATCTAAGTGGTTGCATTAAAAGAGTTGCACTTCTGGTGCCACTTTATCCTGTGGTCACTGTAAAGGAGCAAGATTATAATACTGTGTTCCATTCTGTCAATCGCACATTATTATAATGTTAATCTTGATACTTTTTTCTTGGTCAGTTAGTTGTCAATTGGATGCATTTGAAATTTCTTCTGTGGTTGATCTTATTGTCACAAACTTATGACTTGACCTTAGCCATTTCAAGATATACTACTGCAATCGATATGTAGTCTTTCGGATGCATTGTTGCAGAATTGTTTCTAGGGTTGCCTCTCTTTCCTGGGGCCTCTGAGTTTGATTTGTTGAGGCGAAAGATTGAAATACTTGGGTAAGTCCGTTATTCTTTCACCTCAAATTGTTAGTTCATTATGTTCAATGATCCGTTAAATTTCGAGGTAATTAGTATATATCCCATGCTTCACTTCAATGAAGATTGAAGGAGTCTATTAGTTGAATTCCTAAAACTTTGGTTGATGTCTTTTTGTATTTGTTATTACACTTCTCTAGTGGGCATAGCAAGCTCTAACGCAGTTCCTCTTCAATTCTGATTTTAGCACATCCTAAAGTTTAGGATCTAAACAGTCCAATTCTAATAATTTGTAGAGTACATCGTTTCCATCTTTTACTTTCACCATCTACCAATACTAAAAATAAAGAAATTACTTTAACTTTTAATTCAATTAGTAAAATGCTGAAGCTAGACCTACCGCTTAAAGTAGCTGTGTGACCTAACAAAAAGCAAGGTAGGATTTCACTGTCCATGCGGTTTAGACCTTGCCCAGTATACCGTTCCAAGTGAAGCTGGATATTTCTTACGCTGTTCTCGTTCTCTATATTCAGTGGTTTGCTCTGTTTTATCGCCCATGCTCTATTAAAGGATACTGGTTGATTGATTCTTGGACTTTGTCATCGTTGGCTGAAATGTTGTAGAGGACAACCTCCTGATTATGTGCTGAAGAAGGCAAAGAACACCTGCAAATTCTTCAAATGCATTGGCAACATTTGCAACTTAGAGGGTGTTGAGGCCTCATTGGGTGGCAGAACCGCGTATCAAGCACTAACTATAGAAGAATATGAAGCTGTAAGTGCCTCATCTGTTTCTTGAAGTAGGTGGGAACCATTAATTATTTGATAACTGGATAGCATTGATGCATGAGTGTGCTCTCTCCTATGTCACCTGTGCTGTTCCTTATGTCAGTGATTACTTATTCTGTTCAAAGAGAATTGAAGAAGCCATCAATGGGGAAGGAGTATTTCAATCGTATGAACCTTGAGGCTATTGTGACAAACTATCCCTACCGCAGAGAAGTCTTCCTCCCGTATCGACCGAGCGCTCATCAACTCAAGCTTTGAAGATTTATTTTCTCCTGAGACTCTGACTGCTCTTGATCGCGTGGAATCGGACCATAATCCGATCCGGCTTAAGTGGGGTGCAACCGATCGCTTCATTCACCCTTGGAGGTTTGAAAACATGTGGTTCCAAGAAGAATCTTTCCTGCAGAGCTTGTTGGGGTGGTGGTGCATCCCTGTCAATGGGACTAGTCATCTGTTCAGATTTGGCCAAAAATGCAAGCAAACCAAATTGATGATCAAGAGGTGGAACCGAGACCATTTCGGGAAAGTTGAAAAGAGAATTGCAGATCTCCTTTGCAGGATCAAATGTATTGATGACTTGGAAGAGGCGGAACAGCTTAACCCGATGCTAGAGTCAGAAAGAACTATCCTTAAATATGAACTTGAGAAGATTCTAATTATGGAGGAGATTTCCTGGAGGCAGCGATCTAGAGAAGTGTGGCTCAAGGTGGGAGACAAAAACACTGGTTTTTTTCATAGAGTGGCTAAGGCGAATAGAAGGAAAAACAGAATCAAGAGGCTGTTGATCGACGGTAGGGCTTCTGAAGACGGGAATGAAATTAAAACTGCGTTTCAAAATCATTTCTCGGCAAAGTTCGTTGAGCCAATTGAAGATAGGCCCTTCTCAACAAGATATAGGGCCCGTCGGCTTTCATCAGAGGAGAATGATATACTTGTGAAGCCTTTCACCGAATCAGAAGTTTGGCAAGCAGTAAGGCAGTTTAACGGAAGTAAAGCTCCAGGGCCTGATGGTTACTCGCTTGAGTTCTACAAAAAAGCCTGGGACATCATAAAAGTTGATCTGTTGAAGGCTTTTGATGATTTCTACCTAGCTGGTACCCTGCCACATTCGATTGCTCACACTTTCATCTGTCTTCTGCCTAAAAAAGATCCGTTTGAGCAGGTTGCTGATTTCCGGCCGATAAGTTTGTTGGGAAGCCTGAATAAAATTGTTGCAAAGGTGCTGTTCAACCGACTCTCACCTCACATGAACACATTAATCTCCGATTACCAGTTTGCAGGGAAAAGAGGCAGGGTAATCCATGAATCTAGCTTGATCGCAAATGAAGTAATAGACAGTCGTAGAAGGAGCGGGAGGCCGGGAATTGTGATTAAGTTGGACATAGAAAAGGCTTTCGACTCTATCAGCTGGAAATGCATCCTAAACTCATTAGCGCACTTGGGACTTCATGCGAGGTTCCAGAAATGGATTAAAGGGCTGATGTCTTCTTCAATGCTTTCCATTCTTGTCAATGGAGAATCTATAGGCTTCTTTGGTATGACCCGGGGTGTCAAACAAGTCGACCCGTTATCGCCTTTCCTCCTCAACATCGGTATGGATATTCTCTCTTTCATCCTTTGTGAAATCAAAAATGAAAGGGCTTATTTCGGGTTTCTGTATTAATGAAGAGAGGCGCATTGGGGAGGTCACTCATCTATTGTATGCGGATGATGCCATATTATTCTGTGAAGCTTCCGAAACAGAGGTCCGTAATGTGTTGGCAGCCCTGATTTGTTTCCAGGCGATCACTGGACTGCAGGTGAACCTTGAGAAGTCAAATTTTTTTCCTGTTGGCGAGGTATCAAACATCGAGAGATTGGTCGAAGTCTTCGGTTGCGATTGGGCCTTCTTGCCTACGACGTATCTCGGCCTCCCTCTCGGCTGTCAATCCCCGCCTACTGCATACTGGAACAACATCGTGACAAGGACTCAGTCAAGACTGGAAGGTTGGAAAGGAAAATTCCTTTCTCTAGGAGGGAGAGTTGTGCTTATAAATGCAGTGTTGGCTAGTCAAAGTAATTATATGAGCTCGTTGTTCCTTATGCCCAAGAATATCGTAAGTTCATTGGAAAAGATTCAAAGGGATTTTCTTTGGTCTGGCACACAGGAAAAGGATAGGCTGCATCTTGCATCTTGGGATCTTTGCAAAACTGCCAAGAACAGAGGAGGTTTGGGTATCCGTGACCTGGAGATTAATAACCGTGCTCTACTGCTTAAATGGCACTGGAGATTTGCGACTGAAAGGAATACATGGTGGAGGGAGATCATTAATACTAAATTTCCTAATTCCCACTCGGAGTGGTTCTCAGAAACATTGCCGGGTGGTGCAGGTGGAAGTCCCTGGGCCAAGATCATGAAGTTGCAGGCTGAATTCTGGAATTTCACTTGCATTGAACACGGTCAAGGCTTCTGGACCTCCTTCTGGCTCGACACCTAGATTAAGGGCGTCCGACAGGCTGAAGAATTCCCGAGAGTTTTCACTGCTGCTGAATCCCCACATGCCACCATCGCCGATTACCTTTCTTTTTCTGAGGGAAACTGTCAATGGAATATCCAATTGATTTATTCTTTACGGGGCGGGGCTGAGAGTGAGCGTGTGAGATTATTTGACTTAATCTTTTCCATTCCTTCTCAGAATTTTCTTGCAGGACCTGAAAGACCAAGATGGCTTCCATCCCCTACAGCTGGTTTCAGTGTCCACTCGGCATTTGAACACATAACCGTTGCACGCGCTGTGGGTTTTTCGGAGTTCCCTTCAAAGGTGATTTGGCTGAGCATTGTACCGAGCAAGATATGCATATTTTTATGGCTGGTCTTCCACAAACGAATCCTCACCATTGACAACTTGAAGAGGAAGGGTTTCCTATTACCTAATAGGTGTGCCCTCTGCAAGAGAGAAGAAGAGACCCCGAATCACATCTTCATCACCTGTGATTTCTCCAACCAGGTTTGGAGCAGATTGAAGCGCTTCGTCAAGGTTGATAGAAGTACTGACGAGGCCCGCGATATCTCCGACAGAATCCGGCTCTGGTCTCATGCGAAACCAACCAACCCAGCTCAGTGGTGTACTAAAGTGGCTTTACATGCCTTCTGTTGGCGTGTTTGGTTAGAAAGAAATGCCCGAGTGTTCAAAGAGGAGGAGCGGCACATCCCTTCACTTGTTATGAGGATTGGATATGATATCTTTTGGTGGTTGACGATAGCAGGAAAGGTGGATAAAGGGATCGCGGAGACTTGGATTAATGGGATGAAAACCACCCTGTGTCCAGAAAATTTGCAGCAACCCTCCACTTCGAGTTCGCTGTTGCCCAGGGTAGACCAGTAATTCTTTCTGGGCTTTTTGCTTCCGATACCGGATGTCGTCTTGACCCTATGGGACACTGCAGCTCCCTGACGTTTTTCTTCTCTGTTTATATGTTGCTTTGCTTTGTCTCCTTTTCCAATTCCGAACAGTGGGATTTGGAAGGAGAAGTGTTTCTTTCTTTCCCCTTCTTTTCGTTTTCTGCTGGCATCTCTTTGTTGGCTGGAATAGGGTTCTGGGAAATTTGTCCTCCCCCCTATTCTTTTGCTCTTTCCTTGTTTCTTTTGTTTCCTTCTGTGAACTTGGGTGCACCTTGTTTCGTTTTGGTTCCCTCTTATTAATATATATCATCCTTAACCAAAAAAAAAGCTGCTCTCTTTCATCGTGATATTATGGAGTCCTTGAAAAGAGGAAGGAAAACAAAAGCTGCTGCTTGTTCTTCCAAATTAGCAGAAAATCTACTAAAGCTGCGACTTGAGTAACAACTAAAACATCGATACTTTTATTTCAGGTTCAAGGCAAGATGAGGAATTCCATGCATGGCAGCCCACATTTTCCGATGGTCCCGTATTCACATGCAAGTAGCTATGGCAGTGTAGGAAGCCATGGCAGCTATAATGATGGCTTGGGCCTTGGAAGTAGCTATGGAAGTTATGGAGATAGCAACAATATGTTTGCATATTATTCACTAGTTAATCATGGAATAAACATGCATGCACAGCATGGTCAGTCTATGCTTGGTGGTAGTCCTGATGCAAGGCGGAGATTTGTCCAGTATTCACATGGGAATGGGCTTGGTGTAAGCCCCTCAGCAGGGAACTTTGCACCTTTTCTACTTGGTGCAAGCCCCTCACAGTTCACTCCTCCACCCTCCTACAATCAGGCTTCAGGTGGTTCTCCTGGACATTATGGTCCACCTTCTCCTGTAAGGAACAGTTGTCGTGGATCGCCATTGAGTAAAATGACAGCAGCTACACAATTTAATAGGAGAAAAAATTGGGGTTATTCTGGAAGCACTCAGTCCCAAGAGAGTTCAGCTTCACATTGGAAGGGGCAACATTTTGAGAATCCGAGCTCTACTCATGTTGAGGGAATTGCCTCGGCCCCTGGTAGTCAACCGTCACACCAACGGCCAAAGTCTGGTACTCCAAGCTGGACGCAACAACAAGGGGGCAGTTTTGTCCCAGGTCAATCTTCAGTTCAAAATGTGCCAGGCTCATCGAGATCTGGTACTAACATTCCATTGTCACAAAGCACTGGATTAGATCATGACAAGCCTGAGGATAACCTGTCATTGGCAGATCCTGGGGATTGGGATCCAAATTACAGGTGAGATGGACTATGCATCTTCTATTTCACTTGAGAAACATGTCACAAGAATATTAAGTGTATTTGTTTATGCCTTTCTGGGAAAAAGTTGACTACAAGTTTAAGAGCAGATTACTCTCCTCATGCTTGCTTTGTGTTGTACATAGTAACTATAGGAGGAAAATTGGAATTAGCAAGTTCGTTTGGTTTTCCCCATTGCTAGGAGAATCCCAAACAAAGACACCCGTTACAGGAGAAATAGTGAGTTGGTTGACTATCTAATCTTTACTTCGAACAACGTTTCACTGCAGTTATTGGTCTCTAATAAGATACAGGACCTGACCACATTGAAACTAGCAGTGGCTTTGATTGTTATTACTTTTGCAAGAGGTATGTGATGTTTTGTTCACTTGATGATTGCTTACTATGCATAATACACTGTTTAGTTCGAGTTAGGATCAATGTACTTTGTTAGGGAAATTAAAAATTTTCTATCGCACAGCTCTTTGGCTATATGCCTCAGTGTAACTTATTGCATAGCAATTTGCTTCATATTTTTGGGAGGGCCAGGGGATCAATGTTCATACTTTCTCTTCTGTCATCATACTTTTTTTTGTTGCTTTTATCTATCCTGAAATAGCGAGCGGTGCTTTTGCTGTCATACCTCGGGATGCATCAATGTGTCACCTTTCGCTCAACTTATTGCATCTCGTGCATGTTTCAGTGATGAACTTCTTCTGCAAGAGGATAATTCTGATGTCGGCTCCTTAAGTACTGAATTCAGCAAAGGTGTCAATCTTAGTTCTGGCAATCAGCCAGGTACTGTAAGAAGATCCAACCATCAATCAAACACGAGCTCTTATTCCTTAGTTCAAAGGTATGGTCTCGATAAGTTCATCCTACACTTTGTTTTATCGTGTTTTGTGATTGATGAAACCAACACTAGCAGCGCGACAGCTGGAGTTGATAAGTATATAAAGTCATAACATTATTGACTGATAATTGGAATCGTTTTCTGTTCGCAACTTGATCTCCTGGCAGTTATTGATTGGCATTACGTTCATATTAGAATGTTGCTTGCAACTTGAATCCTGTCTTGTTACCTATATCTTGTACAAGACAAAATGGTTTGTGCAATCATTTTCACATGTCAACGTGGGAAGTCCTCCTTCAGCACACGAACTGCATGCTGGTAGCTATGGCCGTTCAATGTCAAAGCCATCCCATTTCACACCCCATCTTCCTCAGAACTCTCCAAGCCGACTAGGACGGCAAGCCAGTCATCGTGGTACTCATGGGAGACCTGCTTATGGTGGGGAGTGGAATCACAAAGTTCAGTCCCCACAGTCTAGCTTTAGTTATGGGGGCCCGCTTTCTCCTGGAAGTAGTTCAAACAACAATGGCATTCCCTGGGGTATGTGTCAGACTCACTTTGAAATCTGATTTGTCACTTTATTCAAGCAATCTGGTTTTGGCTAGAGCATAGTGTAGGGTGGTATGACCCAATTCTGAAACAGGTGCTGTTTTACGATTGTTTTGTAGGGCGTATGGCTAATTATCCAGGACCAAGCATTCCTCCAGCATCTAGAGGAAGAAAAGATCATGGAAGAATTGTGTAATTTTTGGTTATCAGCTTGATTCTTTTGCTGCAAGGGGACACAATGTATTAGAGTGTTGGAAAAGGAAGAGTTTTACTCAGTAGTCCACATGCTTTGTGGACTGATGCTTAGGAAAATCCTCATCCTCATTCATTCCGCTTGCAAAAATATAAGCTGTGGTGTCTATCTTTTTATTTCTCCTTTGGCTTGACTTATACATGTGCAATCAGATATCAAATTTCTTTACTGCTTCTTGGTCATCCTTTCTTATGTGTCGATAATTGAGAAGCAGGCAGCCTCCTAAATTTTTTCTGTGAGTTTCTGTTTGGTATCTTGACTTGAAGCATCAGATGGCGGGTGCTACATTTCATTCCCATTGTCGCATCCTTTCATGGAGAAATATATGTATTTGACCGACCATTCGATCCTGGTTAAGCATTGCTTTGCGTTTGGTTTCTGATTGATTTATCTTGTGGGTGTGTCTTTGGAAAGGGAACTAGAGCTGCTGCAACTGTCAACAGCTAATTGATGTAATCAATTCGCTTGTTTTGTACTGCAAATGTCGATTTCTCTTGAGGGTTGAGAACTGAGATTAGTTGAAGTTGAGAATCATGATTTTGTCCAATTTTCTTCTTTTCGGAGACTTACCATCGAAGTAGTAGATTCTGCTTGTACTGTTTTCTTGTGAACCGGTAAATGATGCTGCATGTAGTATTAGCTACGATACTTGAATCTTAATGAAATATATATATGAGATGTTAGCATAGTAGCTACAAATTTAGGAAATAAGAGTCGCACAATGCGTAAACAATTTTAGGGTTTAATAGCTGATTAGTGCTCTCAAATTGTGGTGTTATCTAAAAGGAGTGATACGTGTGGTGGAGTCGACCTTGAGTCATTATGTTTTATTTCCAATCGGTCTTGTTGTTGTTGTAATATGATCCTAGTGATCTTCTAGTATTGGTGATTCAGACTCGTTTCGGTATGAGGGTGACTAAAGAAACTGTTGAATTTGAATGTACTGATTGAACTTGGCTAATGGATATCGAGATATGGGAGATGCCATAGAAACAAGGTGCTAAGATTTCCTAGAAGTGGCCATAAGTGAAGCATTGAGAAAGAGCACAAGGATATCGAAATCGGACCAATGATGAGATGAGATTCATTGATGCAGATACAAATTGAGGGCAAATGAAATAGAATGGGAAGCAACACTGTTGTAGTATTGGTGTGCTTCGTATGTAGGTGGTCAAAACAAATGTCCGTCATGAAGATCTAGTCCTTTTTGTCACGATGGATGTCATGGTAATTTAAACGATATATTAGAAATTAAACGAATCTTTTTTTTTACAGTGGAAATAAATGGATCGAGAAATGATGAGGTGGATTCATTATTGGAGGAGATGAAGAATCTGTTGAGAGGGGAGGATAGGAGTTTAGTCGACGGAGGATGGCAACCACACGTTGGTGTGGTATCTTATGGCTAGGGATTGAAGTTTGGTATCGCTATGTCTGGTATACGGAATAACGTACTAAATATATCATTCTTTGGTATTTTTTTGGGGATTGAGATTGTGAATGATTTGGGATGTAATATGATACTCGGACTATGAGATTAGGCCGGAATATACCGAAATATCGAGACATATTTTACGCTATTTTTTTAATGAATCACCAAAGCTGAATTTTTTTAGAAGTTCATTAAAGATGCTCTATTTCCAAAAAGATTTCCTTTTCTTTTTTGTTTTTGTTTGTCTGCTCCGCTTTTATACCCTATAAAACTTCTGGTCATTGCTCACAATTTTGACAACTAGCAAGCTCCCATCCTATCAACATTTAACTTCGGATTTTCTTAAGGTCAGTCTAGTTTCTCATTCAATCTATTTTTATTTTCATAACACCAAAAAGTCGACACTCTCATTAGTTGTTTCTAAGTCTCCACTCCATCAGATCGAAGATTACCAAGAGCGTGGAATTGAGATATCACCATCTCATCCCTTCTCTTTGTCCTTGCCTTAGCTTGAGACAAACTAAAGAAACTTTTCTTAGACACATAGTCCCAATGTAATGAATTCATTAAATTGATACTTTGATTGAATCCAAACAATTGGGGATGTTGTGTAGCTTTTACTAGACTTTTCTCACCTCAACTACTCATCATCAAGGTTTTCAATTATGGAATTAAACCTACAAGCCTCCACCATAGAAAAGTTGTTGAGATTAGAGGGTGAAGGTCTCATCTTTTCCTTGCCGTTTCAGATTTGAGATAAACCTCTTCGGCTACGCAGGGCTAGGGTTGATCTATAAAAATCTCTTTCATTGTCCTAGTCATTTGGATCTCTAAGCGAAACACTTGGATCCTTCTCATCAAGGTTCTCACTCAACATGGTTTTTCATATTTATTCCTGTCATGAGTCTTTGCAACAAAGATGAACATGTCTTTTATCATTCTCAAGTTTGTAACAAATGCACTTTCATTCCAAAACCATGAGAGAGAACCATCCATCCATGTGATGGGCTCATAACCCGAGCTGGTCGTGGATCGAGGAGGGAGATGGAGGCCCAACCGGGTTCGGGCGAAGTGCGTCGTGCCTGATCATGAAGACCATTAGTTGGAGGACCCACTGCTGCTTGCCTAGGAAGTTTATTAGTTAAGATTGGATTTCATTGTTGCTGATTTGATTTGGTTGTTAGTGGAGTCGATGTCCACGTAGTTGTTAGGATTTGTCAGGTCGGATAGGTGTAGGGAGATAAGATAGATTCTCCAAATCGTAGGAGATTAGGGTATCAGTTTGTGAACCACATCGTTAAGCTTTATCCTCTATATATAGAGGGTTGAAATGAATAAGAGCAGCAGATTATTAATAGAAAAACAAGAGTTACACTGGCTGGTTCTCACCAAAAGGAGAACAAGCTCACACCCCTAGTTTCCAAGTTTCAACACTTGGTATCAGAGCACGAATCTATGGGACCAAAATCCGTGGCATACAAGGAGAGGATCGAGTTTCTCGAAGCTAATCTGAAAAGAATTCAGGAGTTGACCCAAACTGCCATTTCGGATGACGTCCGTCGAGTTGAGGGATCGGTGGCTGAACTAGGAGGTTCCGTAGCTGAACTCGGTGGCCTTGGAAACTCACTCGGCCATAGCTCAAGATAGCATTGATGAGATACTCCGACTTCTCCAACGTCGACCTCCTGCCATCGATGGTGACCATCGGGATGACCGCCACTTCCTACGGGAGATAGGAGGGGAGAACGAGACGACGGGGAAAGGGACGACCGCCGGGATGAACGTCATGACGATCACCGTTACGAGAGGGACGAACGACGTGCCGTTCATGGTCGCTATGAGCGCGTGAAGAACATCCTCGGCCCTTATTCCGAGTGAGATACACAAAACTAGAGTTTCCGCGCTTCGCTAGGAATGATCCAACTGAATGGTTTACCCGCGTAGACCAATTCTTTGAGTACCAGAATGTTGACGAAGACCAGAAGGTGCCATTGGCTTCTTACCACCTCGAGGGCGAAGCCAACAAGTGGTGGCGGTGGCTGCAGAAGTCCTACGCTCAGGAGGGAACACATGTCACCTGGGAGTTGTTCTCCGGGGAACTATGGACCCGATTCGGCGTGGCTGATGAGGATGACGCCGACGAAGCGCTATCCTGTATCCGTCAAACAGGAACTCCCCGAGATTACCAGCGGGAGTTCGAACGACTAGGGAACAAAGTCCATGGTTGGACACAAAAGGCACTGGTGGGAGCGTTCATGGGTGGTCTACGAGCAGAGATCTTGGAGACCCTATGTCTTTTCCGTCCAGAATCGCTCAAGGAAGCCATACGGCTTGCTTGCATCCGCGACGAGCAGCCGCGAAGAACAAAACCATCTAACCGACCGATAATCCGAACAATAGGTGATTCTACCAACAAAAGTCCCAAGGAGCAGCCACATTGAGGTCGGAGTCAGATCATCGCCCGCCGGATTCCTTGGGAAGAAAAACAACGACGAAAGGCGGCTTTGTTTCAATTCTCATGAAAAGTACTTACCCGGACACCGCTGCAAACGGCTGGCACTACTTCGTTGTGAAGGGGCGGAGGAAGAAGATGAGGAGTTGGAAGAAAGTGAAGTCTCCTTTCACGTCATGAATGGACTAACGGCTGGCCGAACTATGAGATTATGGGCCCAAATGGGCCCAGCCCAAGTCATGATACTTGTTGACAGTGGTTCAACGCATAATTTCATGGCTTCTCACATTGCGGCCCAACACCAATTGCTGGTAACTCACGTAAGGAAGGTCGACGTCAAGATTGCCAATGAAGTTCCTCTTCCATGCACTTTCCGACACGACCAAGTCAAGATGATGGTACAAGGATTGGAATTCTCTCTTTCCCTCTTCGCCATTGACGTTGTGGGAGTTGATGTCGTGTTTGGCACCCAATGGTTGGCCTCGTTGGGTAGTGTACTCTGCAATTGGCATACATTGAAAATGGACTTTGAATGGCAAGGTCAAAGAAGGAGGTTGAATTGGATAACTCCTCGGACACAAGCTGTTGCGTCCCTTAAGGGACTACTCAAGGAAATCCCACAACATTGCCATTTCCTAGAGCCATTACCCACTGAATTCAGCTCAAGGAAGGGGCTGACGCCGTCAACTTCAGGCCATACAGGTATGCTTATTTCCAAAAGAAATAGATCAAGGATCAAGTCGACAAAATGATGCATGCTGGTCTCATTCACTCTAGTAGTAGCCCCTTCTCGTCGCCTGTACTGCTCGTAAAAAATAAAGATGGAACTTGGAGGTTTTGCACCGATTACCGAGTTCTCAACGCCGTCACAGTGAAGGATAGGTTCCCCATCCCGACCGCTGATGACATGCTAGACGAGTTACATGGGGCAACTTACTTCACGAAGCCCGACTTGCGAGCTGGCTACCATTAGGTGAGGATGCACGCCTAAGACATACCAAAAACAGCGTTCCGGACCCACAATGGCCATTACGAATATCTCGTGATGCCCTTTGGGCTCTACAACGCACCCTCAATCTTCCAAGCTCTAATGAACGATATATTTAGGTCCTACCTCTGCAAGTTCGTCTTGGTATTTTTTGACGATCTTTTGATTTACAGTCAGGACCGGGGGACCCATCTCCAGCACCTACGGCAGGTATTCCTCATCTAAGGCAACATCATTTTTTTGTCAAGTTCTCCA